ATATTGAACCGAATCTACTATTGATCTTATGATAATAATCATATTTTCTTAACAAATTAGATCAAGTGATTAGATCAAAATACTATTATGTGTTCAACAATGGTGCAATAAAAAGATCATATTTGTGAGAGGTCGGGAGAGGCCTAAACCCTACCGTGATTGTACTTCCTAGATTCAAATCTTTAAGCGACTTGAGTTCTTTTGTTTCATAATATTATGAGCAAAACTATATGGTGAAAAAATTACTACTTGGACCTAAAATGCTTATAAGATATGTTGACCTAATCAATTATAACTATTGAATTGAAAATGAATTCTAAATGATATTTAGACCTATAGTTAAATTAATGATTGTGATTGATTATTAAGTCCAGGTACAGTTGCTCTTCATGAAAATACTCCATGGGTTGAAATTATGATTATGGCTTAGAAAAATTTCTTCCACTCCCCTATAAATTAGTTATAAGTTCATGGACTTCCTTTGAATTTTCTGAAACTTTAATGCCATCCCTGATCAATTAAGGTATATTTGGTTTACTAATTTCATCAAACACAAGGAACTGGAGGCAAAATAACCTACTGATCTCTACAGGGAAAGAATGTAATCTATCAACTTCTTTTTAATTTGAACAGAGTAGTTAACCTAAAAAAGTCTAACAATTACAGTTACAATAATTCTATTAAAACATGTCACAACCATAATATCACCAAGTCATTAAATCAGATCAGTTTTTATGTACAATTTTTTTCCACCCCTTTGCTGAATTCTCATACTTCACTCTTCCCCATATCTCTCTCTCCTTCTAGTTTTCTTGCTTCCATTTCCTCACTCTCTCTCTTCTTCCTCTGGAGGAACTCAATCAGGCCCTGTAGTGCAGCCTCTGGTTCCTCATTTTTCAGTAATTGCTCTCCAATTTCTGCAGGGCTCACCATTGTCTTTTCCAACAGATCATTGATTTCGGGGAAAAAAGAGTGCTCTGTAATTCCAAGATAGTTCATGGCTAGAGTCTTGAAGGCACAGGGAGTGCAATAAGACATGTGGATGTGCAAATCCATGCGGCCAGGACGTAGCAAAGTTGGGTCGATTCGATCTTTGTGATTGGTTGTGAAAATGATAATCCGTTGGTCTCCACAGCTTGACCAGAGTCCGTCAATGAAATTGAACAGCCCCGAAAGTGTTACCTGAGGGAAGAGAGAGAAAATTTGACAAAGAATGTGTTACTTATTGTGCAGTGTTTGGCTTAGCAGAGCAGAAGATATTTTGCTATTGAGACAGAAGAGAATGGCATTGACAAGTAGGGCCTACAATTTTATTTTAGACATGACTTGTGAACAAAACATCAAATTACCTCAATAAATCTGTGTACTAAATTGGGTGATATGAAGCCAGCTAAACAAAGAGTACACGACACAAACTCAACAAAGATATGAGTTAAACAAGCATGACAAAGGCACGACAAGAAACCAACGCGACACAATTCATTTCCATCCTTATTGCCAATTCAATTTTTGTGGTTTTAATTGGAGGACAAAGAGTTCAACCTCAACATATCAAAAGAGGCCACAAGCATTGGATTGGACAATGGTTTATGGAGAGAAAAGCTCTTTTTTTTGGGATCAACGTCCTCTCCAATACACTAGTACTCATGGTATATCACCAATCGCATATTGTTGAGAACACTCCATATATAGAAGGTCTCATTTGAATTCTTAATAGGTTATCTACAGTTGAATGAAACTTAGGGTTGAACAGGGCATTGTCTAAGCATGTGATCGCCTAAAATGAAGTTTGGCAATTGCAATTTTTGCTTATGTGCCAAATACTGGATTTTGAAAAATGCTATTTGGACCTGATTAGTTGTAGCTGTTGGATTTTAAGTGAGCTCCATTTAACATTAGAATTCAGAATTAGTATAATAGTTGCGTTGAATTAGGTTTTGATTAGGTTGAGAGAGAGAGAGAGAGAGAGAGAGAACAAACATACTTGGCTCAGTTTCTGTTGCGGAACAATATTCACAGTCTGAGCTTGGCTCTCTTGACTAGATTGAATGCTCTTTAGAGCTGGTTCTTTGGCTTTTCGATCTTCAAACTCAAGACTACAATCAATATCCTCAACCACAAGAATCGACTGGTTCGGGCTGCCAATCAACAGTTTCCTCAGGTCTGAGTTGCTATGAATAGCAGTGAGCTCCAAGTCATAGATATCAAAGTTCAGGTAATTCGCCATTGCTGCGATCAAGCTCGATTTCCCTGTCCCAGGAGGACCATACAACAAGTACCCTCTTTTCCAAGCCTTCCCTACTTTCCTATACAACTCCTTTCTTCTCACAAATCGTTCGAGATCATCCATGATCATTCTCTTCATCTCTGTATCCATTGCCAATGTATCAAAATTTGCTGGATGATCGAAAGTTATGGATTTCCATAAAGACCCCCCTCTTGAATAACTTCGCATGCTATCGCCATTCAATGTGCGGATTTTCAGTGTCTTTCTCTCTTGTTTCAGCTTCTTCGACTCCTTTAGAATGAAAGGAAAGTAAGAATCAAATACCATTGCCTTGTGTTTCTTGCGAAAACTTAGCCTAAAAAATCGAATTTCTGTCTGAGAGGATGAAGGTTGACTAGTGGAAGATTCAACCTGTCTTGTGATTTTCCTCCATTTGAATTGAACACCATTGAAATTGTCGATGATTTCTTGATTGCTCGCCATGGAAGTCTTTATCTTCGTCTCCTTCTTGGGCATGCTCACTTTAAACATTTGGGTAGAGGGTGAGATTTTTGTGCCTAAATAAATTCCAGCAGCCCTGTAGATTTGATTGTGGACAAGGCCATCGTATTTTTCGATGATCACGACTATCTCAGACGAAAACGTTTTGAAAATATTTCGGAAGCTCGAGAAGACATATTGTTGAAGCTCATAAGGTACGAGGTCTCGGACTATCGATCGGACCACTATGGCAGAAGCAGCAACAGAAGCTACCGTAGACACAAGTGTTTTTGCAGAAGGCATGTTGAGATCAGAAAACATGTTTGAAACCATCTTTTCTGTAATGGGATTTGATTGAAAGTATCAGAAAGATTGAATAGAACTGAAGTTGACTTTAGATTTGGGAAGGTCTCTTGTTTCATCTTTTATTAGCAGAGGTAAGGAATCTACTTCTTTAACCAGCATAGTAGGGAATTGACCCCTTATTTTGGTACGAAAAGGAGTTGCATAGAAATTAAAATAATTCTCGTTTCTAATTTAGACCTGCTAAAAAAATTCCACTGAAACAATAGGTCATCGCCTAATATAAGAGTTTATAATAAGGAAACATTATGAATCAAATGCAACAGAGCATTGAAAGTTAAATACCTACCCATGTGAGAGGTTTGCTGAGCAGCATGGAATTAATCGTCAGATAGCGACCTAAGAAATGTCAAACCATCACTAGGCTTTTGATCTAATGGTACTCTTTGTCTTCTAATGACTTTGCTTTTTTGAGGTCAAGGGTTCAAGTCCCCCTTCCCCAAAAAAAAAAATGTCAAACCCAAAGATTGAATTGAAGAAGAGAGCCCAATGCAAAGAATGCCTCTATTTCACCCGCTGCCAATCATTGGCAACTGACCAAGCAATGCCTGATGAGCTGTCGGGGCCATTTTTTGGGTACTCTTGCACAACAATGGGAAGAAAATCACCAATAAAGTAAGTCAAGCCCCCATCATCCACATGATTCCCAAATTCCCAAAAACATACAAAACTTATATCACACTTTTATAAATACCTGAATCACCAAAAATTCAAAAACGTAGAGCATCAACCGAGGAGCAACAATTTTAAACCTTTGCATCTAAATTTTTTTCAACCAACCGGTGAGTACCCCAAAATTAATCCTCAACAATTAGCTTTACCATAAAACCATCTTCAATCCATTAATTAAACAATAATCCAAGCACTAAATTACATGTAAACTAAAAGATTCAAATTTAAACTTTGCATTTCCAATTTCATCACATGCAAGTTTAATAGTAACACGAAGAATTGCCCAAGGCAAGAGAAACAATGACTTCAAGATTAAACCATCAATGACTTAATTACTCTTCAAGCCCAAGTTCAATCTAATTTCCCCAATCAATTACTTATTTCCATTGTAAATATCAATGATGAAGTTTATGGATGAATAATTATTGACTTTAGAATTTTAGTTAAAGAGTAAGGTTTTGTTTTTTTTTTAATAGCAAAGCAGTTTTGCAGTTTTTATTTTACTGGGCAAATACAAAGAACAGTTGCCTACATTACATTGAAACCCACAAATTAACCTCACAGAAATGGAAACCCACAAAAAAACCTAACATGCAATTTGATAACAATAAAATCATTCAATCAAAACCCTACAATTCAATTTGAAATTAACACCCCAATTAACACTCAATTAATACCCAATTAAAATTAACACCCAAATTTGCACCAATTCGAAAACCCTAACTTTCAATTAGCCACAAAATGTGTATGAATGTGGTTGTGATGTGTGTTGTATTGAGTGTATTATTCTGTGCAGGGGTGTGTGTGGGTGCGCCTTTGTTTGTTCTGTGTGTGTGTTTCGGGCTGTGTGTGAGTGCGTGCTCTATGTGTGTGTGCGTGAGTGGAGAAAGATGAAGGCAGAGAGAGAGCGAGAGAGTGGGAGGGAGAGGGAGATTACCTAGAGGAACAGATCCATGGCAATTGCTTCTTCAAATCTCGGTGGAGATTATTCACTGTCTTCTCCTTTTTCAAATCTAGGTGGTGGGCAGATTCATGGCAGAGAAGAGGGAGAGAGGTAAGAGAATCTCTGAAGTCNCTTTTTCAAATCTAGGTGGTGGGCAGATTCATGGCAGAGAAGAGGGAGAGAGGTAAGAGAATCTCTGAAGTCCTCCTCTCAAAATAATTATTTAAAATATTATATTTTTTATTTTAAAAAATTATTTTTACAAAGTTATTCTAATCGGATCCTCTATTTTAATTAATTATTATTAATATTTTAAGTTAAGATATTGTATAATTTGACACCTCATTAAAATACAAAATAATTAATCCTATAAAGTGCAAAAAGAGTTATTTCGCTCTCAAAATAAAAAATAGTTAGTCAAGGAGACTAACTATATATAGAGAGCAATTTAACTCAAATATAAAATAGCCCGCCTAATAGCTAGTCTTTTGAAATATAATTTTGTGATTTAACTCTTTATTTTAATTAACAAATATCTAATAACTAGCACATTGGAGATGTTTTAAGAGAGATAGGTGGGTGGAAGTGGAGAGGTCGTGGAGACGTAGGTGGTCAAAGATAGAAAGAAAGAGAGAGTAACATGAGAGAGACTTGTTACTCTTTTCCTTACCTCTCTTATATTTTCTTGTTCTCGTTAATTTTAAATTATTTAATTAAAAAAATAAAAAAAAATTATTATTTAAAATATAAATATTATACAATTAATATTCAATATAAAACAAATATGTGGGCCCCAAAAAAAAATTAGAATAACTTAAAAAAATTTAGGCCTCTAATTTTAAGACAATTTTAGATAGGAAGTGCAAACTCAATAATAAAATTGATACGAAAATAACAAGTTTGAGTTTAGTCTTAATAGATACGGGTGATAAACAAATAAATTATATATATTTGCTAAATATGAAACATGAAACATATCTGTCAGACACGATTTACATATAGAATGAGTATAGAATGCTTTTTAATACATTTGTTTTTCCAATTTTATCTATTTTTTATGTAAATACTGAAAAAATGAGTTATCTCAAGATTTTCAACACTCAATACTTTATATTAATTGAGACTTTTGTAATGTCCCCTTTTTTTTAAAATTTCAAACAACCTTAGGTCGAATTCTTTAATTTTAAGACCAATTGTAGGAATATTTTAGAGGATCCTAAAAACGATTTTTTATTTAAATCTTCTTCAAGGAACATTCTAAAATATGCAAGGAATATAAGCAAAAATATAAGAGAGAACTAAAATGTTTTTGTACATATTAAAAAACCAAATATTTGAACAAAAGATTGTAAGGCAACATTTGACAATATCATAGTCATTCATGGTGAGATGAAGGACTTATAAATAGGAGGGGTTTTCATTTGCAAGAACCAAGAGACAAGCAACCAACTTTTAGATTAAATTCGATGCTCTTTTTGTGCTTGTCGGAGTTTTTACTTAATTTTTTTTTATCAACACCCAACAAGAACAAACAAAATAGTCAAAAAAAACCAAGTGGGTATGGAGCAACTTACTATTTAAAATCCTATTAACATTTATCATTTGAAAAATTATTTTGCTATATTAGTAAATTTGAATTCTTTTTCTCTATATTTTTAACTGATAACAAATTTTATTATATTTTGGTTCACAAATTTAACTTTAATTAATGGAATTATATACGAAAAGCTTGAATGCAAAAGTTGAATTTACATTTTTGTATCTCAAAAAAAGAAAAAAAAATTAAATAAATAAGAATAATATTTAAATAATTATTTTATCGTATCTATATTATATTGTCATGGGGACTTATCTAATATTTTTGCCTCGGCCCAAATTTGGGTCGGGCTGCCACTAGGAAGAGATGAAGCCCTCATTGGAGGATTTGATGTCTTATTGCGTGAAGGCCTTGTGTGGGTTGGGTTTGAGAAATACTTCAAACATCCAACCTCATGATGAATTCTCTTTTGTTTTGGGTCTTATCAGCCTCATTTGTTGTAGAGTTGCAAAATTCCTGCAAATCATCACAACTTTCGCCAAAAATCTAGCCATGGAGTCTCTCTCCTTTTTCTGATTAATTGGGTTTGTTATAAGTGACTCAATCCTAAAAAACCTTATCTCATTCCCATCTATTTGATTTTGACCAACTCTTTAGGAGTCGGTTATGTTTGAAATTATGTCTGAAATCTTTCCCATTCACATTAAATGCTCTCAAAAAACCTTATCCTATTCCGAAATTATGTTGTGACTAAAGATACTATATAACATAAAAATATTCAGATATAAGAAAAACTATCAATCAATCTGTATATATATTATTTTGTAAATTGCAAAAATGGTGACGATGGAAGCACAACAATATAAAAATGTGAAACCGTCTATCCACTTCATTGTCCACCTTGTAACGACATCTAATGTAAAGTAGACTACTCTGCCATGCCAGGGTAAGTGGATCGATTGGTGGTAATTACATTTATGGCTCATGCATTCGCATAACTTGTTAGTTAACTAGTCGAATAAGAAGGAAAATGTCAATTGTACTTAATTTCGGAATTGAGAATGTTTCTGCAACTTCTTGTGCTACTTGTGTCAACAAATAAGCCTTTGTATCTTACTTTTTTGCTACGCTTGTGCATGACTTTACACAGTTTGTGTCTGCTTGTAATAAAGTAGTCACTATTGCTATGTGTTTGTATTGGATTTGGGTTGTAATGCCAATAATTCAATGTTTGATCATTATTTTGCAATTAATTTTTGAGGTTCTTCATGTGGATCCTATATATATATGCTCTATTTAAGAGATGTAGTTCTAGCCTGTTGGAGACATCGCGTTTTGCACCCACTTATCTCCTTACATCCACTTTCCTCCCTTCTCTCCTTGCACCATCTCTGAACCATCTTCTCTTATATATTAGTTTTCATCTTCTACCTTATCCACTACTATTGTAAGTGAAGCTTTGTACATAAGTTTGCATTAAATAAAAGCTTTCGTTGTTTGTTTGTAATCAATCCTCCCCTTCTTGGTATTAGAGCCATTTATGGTAGCTTAAATATATTATATTGATTTATATGCAAATCTATTACTAATTCTTGTTGCTTATGTAATTGTGATTTAATTCTATTATACTACTGTTAGTATGAACTTGTTATGTCCATTCTGTTATAATAATTTTTTTTTTATTTCTATGAGTCTGCACCAAAGTCGCGTGTGGGATGTTTGGCCGTGTCCGAGAGATAGGGGTAAGGCCGTTTTGGTTCCGCGTAAATCGTTGACAGGAAAAGTAGGATATAGAAGAAGATTACTATGAGAATAATAACAGTAACAGAGTCACTGTTGCAAAATTAAAAGACGAATTAATATAGCAACCAGAAGAATGTAATATTAAAACATATAAGTCAACAGAAAATCATTTGAGATACCAACATAGCACTAAATCTATTTAAATTTAAGAATAATCATAAAGATGATTATGTTAACAATATAGCAGAAATATAATTCTCTGATATTGAAAATAAATTACAGAATTGGGATATACCCTAGTACCTCACTAAAAAAATTTATAATATTAGAACTTTTGATTTTAAATCAAGTTTAACCATTAAAGCACTTGAAANGCTCAAGCCTGTTGGAGACATCTCGTTTTGCACCCACTTATCTCCTTACACCCACTTTCCTCCCTTCTCTCCTTGCACCATCTCTGAACCATCTTCTCTTATACATTAGTTTCCATCTTCTACCTTATCCACTACTATTGTAAGTGAAGCTTTGTACATAAGTTTGCATTAAATAAAAGCTTTCGTTGTTTGTTTGTAATCAATCCTCCCCTTCTTGGTATTAGAGCCATTTATGGTAGCTTAAATATATTATATTGATTTATATGCAAATCTATTACTAATTCTTGTTGCTTATGTAATTGTGATTTAATTCTATTATACTACTGTTAGTATGAACTTGTTATGTCCATTCTGTTATAATAATTTTTTTTTTATTTCTATGAGTCTGCACCAAAGTCGCGTGTGGGATGTTTGGCCGTGTCCGAGAGATAGGGGTAAGGCCGTTTTGGTTCCGCGTAAATCGTTGACAGGAAAAGTAGGATATAGAAGAAGATTACTATGAGAATAATAACAGTAACAGAGTCACTGTTGCAAAATTAAAAGACGAATTAATATAGCAACCAGAAGAATGTAATATTAAAACATATAAGTCAACAGAAAATCATTTGAGATACCAACATAGCACTAAATCTATTTAAATTTAAGAATAATCATAAAGATGATTATGTTAACAATATAGCAGAAATATAATTCTCTGATATTGAAAATAAATTACAGAATTGGGATATACCCTAGTACCTCACTAAAAAAAATTATAATATTAGAACTTTTGATTTTAAATCAAGTTTAACCATTAAAGCACTTGAAAGAACAATTCATTCCGATCAGAATAAAGATGTTCTACAACTTTATCAGAAAAAGAAGTCTTGCTACACGATCAATTGGAATTATTTTTGTTTTTTTATTAGTTAATAGGACTCAATAATGTTTTGAAGAAAAATGTAGAACTCAATAATGGTTGGCTTTTTATTATTATTATTATTAGTTTGGAAGCATGAGGAAATTTCCATGCTCATCGTGTGTTGTTTTTTATTTTGGCAAAATTGATTGATCTTTTNCACCTTGTAACGACATCTAATGTAAACTAGACTACTCTGCCATGCCAGGGTAAGTGGATCGATTGGTGGTAATTACATTTATGGCTCATGCATTCGCATAACTTGTTAGTTAACTAGTCGAATAAGAAGGAAAATGTCAATTGTACTTAATTTCGGAATTGAGAATGTTTCTGCAACTTCTTGTGCTACTTGTGTCACCAAATAAGCCTTTGTATCTTACTTTTTTGCTACGCTTGTGCATGACTTTACACAGTTTGTGTCTGCTTGTAATAAAGTAGTCACTATTGCTATGTGTTTGTATTGGATTTGGGTTGTAATGCCAATAATTCAATGTTTGATCATTATTTTGCAATTAATTTTTGAGGTTCTTCATGTGGATCCTATATATATATGCTCTATTTAAGAGATGTAGTTCTAGCCTGTTGGAGACATCTCGTTTTGCACCCACTTATCTCCTTACACCCACTTTCCTCCCTTCTCTCCTTGCACCATCTCTGAACCATCTTCTCTTATACATTAGTTTCCATCTTCTACCTTATCCACTACTATTGTAAGTGAAGCTTTGTACATAAGTTTGCATTAAATAAAAGCTTTCGTTGTTTGTTTGTAATCAATCCTCCCCTTCTTGGTATTAGAGCCATTTATGGTAGCTTAAATATATTATATTGATTTATATGCAAATCTATTACTAATTCTTGTTGCTTATGTAATTGTGATTTAATTCTATTATACTACTGCTAGTATGAACTTGTTATGTCCATTCTGTTATAATGATTTTTTTTTATTTCTATGAGTCTGCACCAAAGTCGCGTGTGGGATGTTTGGCCGTGTCCGAGAGATAAGGGTAAGGCCGTTTTGGTTCCGCGTAAATCGTTGACAGGAAAAGTAGGATATAGAAGAAGATTACTATGAGAATAATAACAGTAACAGAGTCACTGTTGCAAAATTAAAAGACGAATTAATATAGCAACCAGAAGAATGTAATATTAAAACATATAAGTCAACAGAAAATCATTTGAGATACCAACATAGCACTAAATCTATTTAAATTTAAGAATAATCATAAAGATGATTATGTTAACAATATAGAAGAAATATAATTCTCTGATATTGAAAATAAATTACAGAATTGGGATATACCCTAGTACCTCACTAAAAAAATTTATAATATTAGAACTTTTGATTTTAAATCAAGTTTAACCATTAAAGCACTTGAAAGAACAATTCATTCCGATCAGAATAAAGATGTTCTACAACTTTATCAGAAAAAGAAGTCTTGCTACCCGATCAATTGGAATTATTTTTGTTTTTTTATTAGTTAATAGGACTCAATAATGTTTTGAAGAAAAATGTAGAACTCAATAATGGTTGGCTTTTTATTATTATTATTATTAGTTTGGAAGCATGAGGAAATTTCCATGCTCATCGTGTGTTGTTTTTTATTTTGGCAAAATTGATTGATCTTTTGTTGTTTTTGATGATCCACAAAATAATCTTGTACAACATCAATAGTCGAGTGTGTGATAAGGTGTAACTAATGGACAATAAATAAAGCAAACATTTCTAGTAATGTAAATATTGAATCAATACACAGATATATAGTGGTTTGGTCTGAATGACCTACTCCATTTCGAAAAATCGGTGGCAGAGGATCTTTGTTGATGATGTAGGGTGAACTGGGGAGAGAACAATGGTTAGCTCTGGTAGAGATATAATAATAAGGAGAGAGAAGTTGTGTGTGTGTAGAGAGATGTAGAAAGGAGTGGTGAGATACTCCTCTTAATAGAGAGAGTTTATAATTTATAAGCATGGTGAGGTGGTGACGTGAGGGTAAAGGCACTAATTTTTTAGTATGGTAGCTACAAAAAAGGTAAGTACAATTAAGATAGTCCTGATCTTTGAGAGTGAGTATCTCGATGATCTCTCCCACGTGCTCTATCTTTCTGAGCTCTTTGAATCTTGGATTGGGTCGAATTGATGAACCGGGTTTGGCTTGCCATTCTAGTGGATCTGGGCTTACTTGATTTATCAGGCCTGATCAGGTTAGATTTGAGCTCATCATTTGCCCCCCATGCCCCAAGCCCTGATGGTGGTGAAGGGGTTGAGGGCATGAGTGAGTCTTCTATTCCGGGTGGCTTACTTCCCATGGTAGCTTCTTCATATTTTCATTTCTGTATACCTCCAGAGTTCATCTTCTTCACTCTTTAAATCCCAGAGGAAATGGAGATCTAAGGAAGTGGGTCACAGTTGAAATTGAGTTCTAGTGATATTTCAGCAAGATTTAAAGAAGATCCATACCTATTCATGGCTGCACCCATTATCGGAGGCAAGGGCCATCTCCACAGAGATGGCGCTAGAGGGGATGTCATGCCCAAACTCAATGGAATAATAGAGAAGACTGACGCCCTTTGCATAGGTGATGCTAATCACGTGCCAGCAGGCAACACCAAATGTGCTCCAAAAGGCACCACCAAATGCACTCCAAAAGGTGGCGCTAAGGCTTCTTGGGACCAGGATGATGCCAAGTTAGTTGGACCTGGTGATGGCATGGAGAACATGGACAACAATGGCCTGGCCAGCCCCTTGGGCATGCTGGGCGGCGCCAAAGAGGGCCAGCAAGGGGCGCTCATGGCGTAGGTATCCTTGGCGAGAGCAGTTGGCAACTCGTAAGAGGTGAGGTGGACCTGGCAAGATCGGGTGACCTCGGTTTGTATCTGGGTGATGAAGATGTTGTTGTGGACATAGGTGACGCCTCTTGCACTGTTGGAGAGGGCCCATGTGGCAAGTTTAGCAAAGCTAGGGAGGCCTAGGTATAGTCAGGAGAGGGAAGCATGCACTGGGCGCCGACCGAAGTATCAAAATATCATAAAAAAATTGGTGAAACTTTGAACAATCATAACTTTGTGTGTTGGTTGTCTGTTTGAGGTGATTTTTTTTTAATCTAGGTATTTTTTTCAAAATCTACGACATAAAAATAGCCAAAGGCGGTTTGGGCAACAAATTTTTCTAAAAAATGCTTCTATCTCTCTGAATTTGATTTTTAAACACAAATTAGTGAAACCGACGACGGTGTGAAGTTGCGCTCTAGTATGCAATTGTCAGGCATTCATGGGCTGCGAGTTTGTGTTTGGGTTTTGCTAGAGAGGGAGACTATGATGGCTTTTGGCTAGGTAGGAGACAAACTTACTTTCTCTAATCCTGCTTTCTCCTTAATGTTTTCTCGATGCTGGTTCTTTATATTGACCTACAGGTACCCCTGTTGATAAAGTGATGGTGGAGGCTCTCTACCCTTCTAGGGCGGTGTCTTCCCTTCCTTCCAAGAGGGTGAGATTTGATGCCTCTAGTGTTTTTCGGCTAACGTTTGATGGCCAGATTGCTTCCTAGGAGCGGGATCCAGTGGTGCCCCCACTCTTTCCTAGACTATGACTACTGTGTGTACCAAAGCTAGCCCTTGTACTATTATAGGAGTTGAGACTCCAGTGCGGTCTTCTATAGGGACTGTAGCTCCACATAGTTATCCTGCTTCTTGTAGTGGCTCTGTGTCCATACTTCGATGTGACTTCGGTCAAGGAACAACTTTGGAGGATTATGACTCCCAGGGATATCAAATAGGTTGGATCTCAAGGTCCAGAGGACATTATCAATACCGCGATGGAGGGGTTCTCCTTTTCTTTATGTTCTACCTTTTGGATTCTTGTAGATGACTGCTGTTTTTCCCCGCCTCTTTTCAAGAATGATCAAACTTAGAGAGGTATCTAAGGATCTGGCGAAAGAGGCGGGCTTCGAGAGCCTACTTGAGGAGCAATTGAGGCTTGCTCATGAAAGAGATGTCTTTCCTGAGACCGAGGTTTTTGACATCCCATGAGAGGGCCAAGAAACTAGAGGCTGATAAAGAGATTGTTTGCATGATAGCAGAGTTAGGGCTGCGAACGTCTTGTGAAAGGGTCGCAAAGCTAGAGGCCAAGCTACGTATAGCTCGAGAGAGGGCTGTCGTGGCAAAGGCTTATGAGGAGACTACTTGCGCGAGAGCAGAGTTAGAGCTGTGGACATCCCGTGATAGGGCCTTAAAGTTGGAGGCCGAGCTACGTATATATCAGGAGAGGACTGCTGGGGCAGAGGCTCATTCCATTGAGATGACAATAAGGAGGGAGGTTGCTGAGAGGGCCATTGCAGGCACCTTTATTAATGGTTATGAAGAGCTTGATCGTCGGGAGTATAACAACTTTTGTCTTTTTGTATGTCTTATTATTAAGTCATGTTCTGACTTTTATAAGTTGTCTACAAACTTTATGAAGTGAAAGCAAGACAATTCTGGACACAATAATCTTAGCAAAGTTTTATTTCATAAAATAATAAATAACATAATAAATCGACTGAAACAATAAAAGACAAATAAAAGCAGAGCCACTGGCTTGTACCCGGTACAACTCTTCAGGTGTTCGATGTCCTAGCAAAGTTGGAGTCACCTCCTCTTAGCCTTCAAGAGATTGTCTGGATTTCTCCAAGGGTTTGCTGACATTCTCTGTCCTTCTGGTCCCAGCCAGGTGACGGGTCTAGTCCTCTGTCAGCACCGCACTGCCTCAACTGGGTCACACTGTATGAGCTCCTCGATCTGTCTTTTAAGATCAAATCAGTCGTCAGTATTATGGTCGTGGTCGTGGTGAAAACGACAATACTTATTCGGGCTTCTACGATTCGGAGCGGTCTTCATCTTCACTGACCAGTGTACTAGAGGATCATCCTGTATTTAGAACATGATATGCTCCACGAAAGTATTGAACGACATGAAGGCTTGCCTCTCTCTCATAGGCGCGGGACCAAGACGGTCCTTAACAGAGATTCTCTGTGTTCTATTCCTTTTGTTCTCTATTTCTGCTTGTCCTCATGGGTGTCCTTCCTCTTCTCACCCCCATGGGAGGACTCTCGTCTGGCCTTGGTGACATCCTTAACGTTCATATACTTTTGTGCCCTTGACAACAACTCGGGGATATTGGATGGTGACTTTTTTAGGACATAGAACATGAAACTAGAGGAGCGCAGACCCGCGATAAAGGTGGCCATAACCACCTTGTTGTCTGACTCCTCGATCTAGAGAGCCTCCTGTTAAAACGAATGAGGTAGCTTCTTAGGTTTTCATCCCGATCCTGCTTGAGGGTGAGCAGGTGGGTAACTGGCTTCTAGTGTCAANTCTGGCGAAAGAGGCGGGCTTCGAGAGCCTACTTGAGGAGCAATTGAGGCTTGCTCATGAAAGAGATGTCTTTCCTGAGACCGAGGTTTTTGACATCCCATGAGAGGGCCAAGAAACTAGAGGCTGATAAAGAGATTGTTTGCATGATAGCAGAGTTAGGGCTGCGAACGTCTTGTGAAAGGGTCGCAAAGCTAGAGGCCAAGCTACGTATAGCTCGAGAGAGGGCTGTCGTGGCAAAGGCTTATGAGGAGACTACTTGCGCGAGAGCAGAGTTAGAGCTGTGGACATCCCGTGATAGGGCCTTAAAGTTGGAGGCCGAGCTACGTATATATCAGGAGAGGACTGCTGGGGCAGAGGCTCATTCCATTGAGATGACAATAAGGAGGGAGGTTGCTGAGAGGGCCATTGCAGGCACCTTTATTAATGGTTATGAAGAGCTTGATCGTCGGGAGTATAACAACTTTTGTCTTTTTGTATGTCTTATTATTAAGTCATGTTCTGACTTTTATAAGTTGTCTACAAACTTTATGAAGTGAAAGCAAGACAATTCTGGACACAATAATCTTAGCAAAGTTTTATTTCATAAAATAATAAATAACATAATAAATCGACTGAAACAATAAAAGACAAATAAAAGCAGAGCCACTGGCTTGTACCCGGTACAACTCTTCAGGTGTTCGATGTCCTAGCAAAGTTGGAGTCACCTCCTCTTAGCCTTCAAGAGATTGTCTGGATTTCTCCAAGGGTTTGCTGACATTCTCTGTCCTTCTGGTCCCAGCCAGGTGACGGGTCTAGTCCTCTGTCAGCACCGCACTGCCTCAACTGGGTCACACTGTATGAGCTCCTCGATCTGTCTTTTAAGATCAAATCAGTCGTCAGTATTATGGTCGTGGTCGTGGTGAAAACGACAATACTTATTCGGGCTTCTACGATTCGGGGCGGTCTTCATCTTCACTGACCAGTGTACTAGAGGATCATCCTGTATTTAGAACATGATATGCTCCACGAAAGTATTGAACGACATGAAGGCTTGCCTCTCTCTCATAGGCGCGGGACCAAGACGGTCCTTAACAGAGATTCTCTGTGTTCTATTCCTTTTGTTCTCTATTTCTGCTTGTCCTCATGGGTGTCCTTCCTCTTCTCACCCCCATGGGAGGACTCTCGTCTGGCCTTGGTGACATCCTTAACGTTCATATACTTTTGTGCCCTTGACAACAACTCGGGGATATTGGATGGTGACTTTTTTAGGACATAGAACATGAAACTAGAGGAGCGCAGACCCGCGATAAAGGTGGCCATAACCACCTTGTTGTCTGACTCCTCGATCTAGAGAGCCTCCTGTTAAAACGAATGAGGTAGTTTCTTAGGCTTTCATCCCGATCCTGCTTGAGGGTGAGCAGGTGGGTAACTGGCTTCTAGTGTCAACGTTTCCCAAAGAAGTGGGAGACGAAATACTTGCTTAACTCCGTAAAAGAGTGGATAGAAGAGCGTTTGATCTTTCCGAACCATTGCCGAGCAAATCCCTTCAAGGTGGTGGGAAAGACTCTACACATAATCTCATCAGGCACCTTGTGGAGTTGCATGAGAGACTTATACATTTCAAGATGATCTAGAGGGTCATTGGCATCATTGAAGATCTCAATAGCGGGCATCTTGAATTTTGAGGGTAAGGGATAGTTGACGACATCTGCAACGAACGGGGTATCAATGCGCCTTACCAAGTAAACCACCGTATCGAGCGCCTGTGCTTTAATGGCGATGAGGGCATTACCGAGTTGGTTTTGCACCCCTTTGATCTTCTTGTCCCATTGGTTGGGGACATCCTCCGTCGGGTCATCGTAATGGCTTTCATGATTGCCATACTGACTTTCTCATTCATCCTCTTGCGCAAGTACATGAGGAGGGAGAACATGTGAGCTTCATACATGCTAGGAAGGGACTCTCGGAGAAGGAGCACCCTAATGTTGCTCGAGAGCGTTCTGGCGCGGGGCCCCATGGTGAAGGGCGACTTGGTGCTCAGAGTGGAGAGGTTGTGGTGTTTCTCTTGTCGGAGGGATTGGTGCTCATTCTACAGGCTGAGGGGTGACGTCTTCCTAGGTGAGCATCAATTGAATGATTTGTCAATTCTGGTTTACCAGCAGTTGCATTGTCTGTAAAAGCTGTTGCCCAATCACGGGAGTCACCATAGTAGATGGTTCTAAGGATGTAAGGGGAGGCGGAGCCTTCTCTCGAGGGGCCGGTTGTTGTCTCCCGATTGTTGACTCATCAACCTTGTCGTGATTGCCATGGAATAGCAAGGTAGTAGAAAATTTAATCGTTTCCCACAGACGACGCCAAACTGATGATACACAAAACAGTCTTGTGCAAGATCAATAGTCGAGTATGTAATAAGACGTAATTAATAGACAATAAATAAAACAATCAATGATAGTAATGTAAATATTG